CAGCAGCATTGGTTACCATTTGGTTTCAGTAGGAAAGCAGCTGGAAGGTAGTTAATATTGACTGATTTTTTTGCAGTAACTTCTCATTTCACACTTTCTGAGCACGAAATCAAGCCATTCCACAAAATAAAAGATCTGATGATGAAACCCATTTAAAACAACCTTCTGCTTCTGTTGAAGCAATTGTTGAAGTTAATTAAAATAAAGCACCCAACTTCTGACAGAACAAGCTGGTGGCCTCTCAGATTTTGGTTCCAGCATGTGCAAGGAGCAGATTCCAGAGACTGGCTCTGCTGCTTGGGTGCAGCAGTCAATCTCTCACACCAACATGAGGCATAAAGCACCAGGCTTGATGCTCTTATAATGGGATTCAACATGAAAGGAAAGCTCTCAGGTACCTCTGGTTGCTATGAGACCATTGACATTTTCTGTTGGAAAGTAATTTATCCTCAGTATAGTACTAAATTAGAAAGCAAGTAAATGGTATGTGTGCAATAGTGAGGACTCTAATTGCTTTTGAATGCAAGGTAACACTACCTGAGCAGACCAAAAAGCTTAATGTTGCATCTGCCACAGTCCAACAGCAGCAGTGACTCTGAGATGGCCACTCTGGGGCAGGAGACCCTCTGTGCAGTGGAGGGTCTTCCACTACACTGACATCCACATCCTTTTCCACCAGATTAGAATCTGGCCCAGAAATTATTAAGCACCTTCATGTGAATTATGCAGCAGTCAAACAAAGATTTCAATAAATTCCCCAGCTCCCAGCTAGGTGAGATTGGGAGGTTTCTCAGAAATATAATTAAGGAAGGGATGGAAAAAGAAAGGTGAAGGTTGGGAAAGGCCTTTAAGATCATTGAGCCCAATCATTGACCCAGCACTGCTGGGCTCACCACTAAGGCAGATCCCAGCAAAAATGAGCAGGCTGACAGGTAAATAAGAGCAAGAAGCTGAGCACTCTTTGGATCAGACAGGTCTGCTTCTAGGGGAAGCTAAGGAAACCTCATTCCAAGATCACCACAAAGTTAATACCATCAGCACAAAAATGGCCTTCAAAAAGAGTCTGGAGAGTCCAGCACGAGTGCAACCCTAACAAAAGATTTCATTTTCATATTCCTCTGGAATAGGCTAATAGCTTCCATTACAATCAGCAGCTCAGGTCACAGATCTGAGTGTAAGAATGATCCTTTCCTCAAATTCGTTATTGGCTGCCTGGGTCTCAGAGCAAAATCAAGTTGTAAAGGTGATCAGGATAAACAAATGGATACCAAGATTTCCTCTGAGCAACACGGCAGCAAGATGTGTTTGGACATTAAGAACTACATAGCTGGAAAATATTATTGGGTCATAAATATAACAGGACAGCATGATTTTGGAAGTTTTCTTGGGTTTATATGAATAATAATATAGAAGGTTCTTTTGTATTTCTTTCCTTTGTGCATTGAATTTGGTGTGTATTACCTCCACATGAATAATGCAATCTAGCAAAATTGATGGCACAGTTCTTTTGTTAAAGCAGTTATGAAACGAGAAAACAAAACCTACAAGAAGAAGTTATGGAAAAAACAACATTTCTCCAAGAATAAAAAGATGGAGTTGCCTGACCGTTTACATTTGTCTCCTGTGTCATGAATATTGGATGTGATTCTGTTTATTAATCCATTGATAGTTCTGTAAGGCAGCTCATTTTTGATAAACTCTGTCAGGGCTGCTGTAAATACAAAAAAGATTTATGAATTAATTTTCATACGTAAATGACAAAATCTTTTGATACATTTGAAATATGTGCCTCGCAGTGAAAAATAGATATATGTGCATGCATAGATGTGTATTAATTTAGCATTCAGATCAGATTGTTCTTTTAGAACACAGCTTAATGCTAACTCTGTTTTTCTGGGGGAAAACCAGTAAACTAAAAAGGTAATTGACATTGAGGGCATACTAAAAATGAAAGAGATGGACAATCTGTGATCTGGGAATTGTGCTGGACTAAAGGTGTAGTGGGTTTTGTTTCAAAAACATTTCTGTTTTCAAGTACCAACGGGTTGTGCAGTCAGTATGCTGTAAAAACACAGATATCTACAGTACATTACTATTATTACTTGAATTGTCTTTATGGATACGAAGCCCATGAACCTATTAGGCTAAAAATAGCACAAAAAGCACAAGCTCTAAATCAGTCTAAAATTGAAGTGTACATGTAATTCACCACAGCCCTGAAGATCTGCATAAAGCCAGGAGTACATCTAAGCTCCACATTCCTGTCAGCAGTAAATCCAGAGCTGGTTGAGCCCCTCCACTTCCATTCTTTGCCAGTGGGACAGGGATTGTGATGGCCCTGCCAGGACTGTCACTGCCAGCACATGCTGAAAGGGCAACGAGCTGAAATCAAATATTTTTTTCATCTCCCATGTACCACAGCAGTGCCTTGTGTACCAGGGCATATGGGCTGACACTCCAGAAGTGTGGCATTCTCCTCCTTCTCTGCATCTTTCAGGCATTTTACAAAGGAAATTCAGAGTAATTCTTTAGATTCTATAGATGGAAAGCCAAAGTACAAAAGTATGGAGTGACCTGCTCCAGGAAGATGGATGGCTTGCCTTTTCCATGGATCATTAGTTAATATAATATAACACTGACTTGCATCGGCCCTTGAAACAAACATTTTTAGGTTCTATAAATGAAAGATAGAATTAAGCTGCTTATGGCCAGAAAGAAAATGAGGCAGGGATGACACCCATGAGGTTCAGGGATAATACCCATGAGGTTCAGCTCTGGATCACCTTGTTTCTGATCACTGTACCTGTCTGGTACTATGTTGTGTGCTCTGTTTATGGTGTAAACTATCTGTGTAAATTCCCTGGAGCAGAGGCTTTTAATTGTGGTACCATCCACAGGCACTACTGACTAATTCATAAGAACCACAGAGTAAAATATATGCAATATCCTGTGAGAAGAAATAAAACAGATTGAACCTCATAATCTGCTGTGTGATTCATCCTCATTGTCTGGCACTGGAATAACTTCCAAAAGCACAGAGATCAGTTTAGCCACCCTTCCTGGTCTGTAGTATGTCCTCGCATTCTCTACATCAGGACACACTTTGTGCTGTGAATTATTCTGTTCTGACATTGTTTTGACCTAGTTTTAACATACTATAACCTGTGGCTTGGTGTAGGGGGGTCAGGCCAGAGGCCAGCAGGGTAATGGGATTTGTAATTCTGAATAATCTTGTTCCATCATATGAAATTGCTTCACAGTGCTCCCGCTTAGCAGCCTGCAGCCATGTACCAGAAAGCCAAGTAACACCTGAGAGTGATGTAAACCAGCTTGGTCTGCACTAAATCTGGGGTTACACCTGAGGTAGTGTAACTCTGCATTGTTTTCAATAACAGCATAGCACCCCTGTTACATCCCACAGAAGCAGAAATGCTCCTGCACATGAAGAGGAAGTAATAGATACACCTAATGAAAACACTTAAATAAAAAAGTCAGCACAAAAACTGGTAGATGAGGTAAACATTTTTGCATTCAAATAAGAAGTTTAGATATACTAATTAAAACGTCCTTTTCAACATGTACTTTGTATTTTATATCAGCTGTGTCCTGAAGCCAGACTACAAGTCTATCAATAAAGGCATTTGTCATGTGTTTACAAAATACACCCCCCAAGCTTATTTGGATTACATGAATCCTTTTAAGGTTGTACAGAAATGCGGTGTCTGTAGGCAGACATGTTGACAATCCATGTCCAGGAGCATTAAAAATAAATAAGCAAGAGAAAAGATAAGTACAGAGAAGGATTTTGTATGTCCTAGTTAATGCAGCATGTCAGGGAGCTGATCTGTCCTCCACCAGCCCACAGAATGAACCATACATTATTTCTTAGTAGTAACAGAGACAAGTATTTCATTATGACTCTTCATTATAGTCTCAGAGAGACTTTGCCAACTGTGCATCACATTCTTTTGCTCTGAAATATATTGGCTTAAATTCCTTTAGTTATAAAGCATGCTTATTGACACTATATTTCTTCTGTTTATTTACCTCGTTACTCACTTATGTTACTCTTCTCATGTTAGTTTGACTTATATTGATAATTTAACTGTAAAATTGTACAAGCCATTCATGTCAAGACCTGTTCTTGTAGTTGGTTGCAAAAACCGAGTAAGAAACTCTTAGTTCAAACCAAAATATTCCATAATGCAAAATACGTGAAAAGCTTGTAGAATATATGTTAGCTTAATTGCTAGCCAAGATGGTGGAGTTTGCAAAGTCCTAACCTCTTTAAACAGGCATTAATAAGGAAAAGAAATAAATATGTACAATAAGTAATGAAATACTCATTGATAGATATTATTTTGTGTTATCAGAATAAAAAAACCCACAGTTTTATGAGAGAAAAAATGAAAATAAATAGGAAAACTATAAGATTTTTAAAATAATTTGAATAAATCTTCCTTATTTTCCTAACATGCAAATATTTCTGTTGGCAGCTGACCAAGGAGTCAGGCACATATTTTGTTGACATCAATAAAACTACTTGGGCTAAATTCTGGTTTAGCTCATGTCAGAATGTGGCCCCATCAACTTCAGCAGGGCTCCAACAATCTATTTCCCAGGTGACTAAATTCAACATGTGCAATACCCTCAGGACATTGTACTTCCTGCAAGCAGTGTCTGAGAGATGGAAGAGGTAAAAGCAAAGCTCCAGAGAGGTTTGAGCAGGGTGGGCTTTCCCTACGCCTCACTTAAGGAAATATTGAATTCTGTGTTTCACCACGGCATTAAGGAATACACAAAAAAGCACATTGGTGAATTACAAAATCATCTCTCCTCCCAGTGCTCACCATGTTGTTTTGCTGCTCAAGGAGCTCTAAGAGGAGCACGGAGATAGAAGGGGCTGGGAGAGCTGGAACACTTCTATTAACCTATTAACTCACTGCCCCCCAGGCCTTGTTCATCATGGTGCCTATCAAAGTGTCAGTCTTTTCTATTACCTTCTCCTTCAGAAGATGTCTGTCTGTCATTGTCATGCTCTTCCAGCAGGATTATCCATCATTTTGGGTGAAGCCAAATCATTCATTTTCATGGCTGTCGCTGTTAGCAAGCTGGGATTGGAAAAAAAAAAAGTGTTTTATTCAACAAAAGATAAATGATGGAATTTCACTCTTAATCATTTTCTTTTATTACTTAATCCAAAAGGTTGGGAGGAGGCTCTGCAGTTTATTATACCACCAGTCACAGGCACCATTATATTTCAGAGTGTAGCAATACGTCCTGCTTTCCAGCAGCTTATAAAACCAGCCATAAACATTAACTCCAGGCAAGAGTTTGTCACACAGCTCTTGATTCAGAGCAGTGGTTGACTCCTGTGGCTAGCACTGGGATATCCCTTCCAGGGCTTTTCTGAGTTAGGCTGAGATAACTGGAACTCACCATGGGTGGGTGTGATGAGCCGCAGCCTTGAGCTGCTGGACCAAGGGTGCCCTGCTAGGGATTCACCAACTCCAATTCTGCCTGAATGTCAGGTCAGAGCTCCTTGACTTAGCTTATTATGATTTCAATTATGTCTTTCAACAAGCAAGATAACACAGGGCACACCCTTCTTATTGACAAGAGTTTCAAAATTAAATGCTTAAAGGAAAATAATCTGTTGTTTAGCCCCACCAGCCTCAGGCATTAAACAAGATGGATAGAATAATACAAGGTGAACCTTCTAGAAATTTGGACATAATTTAACACAATTTTCATTATCCATATAGCTACTAAAGTTATTAGAAGAATTTGTACTGAAATATGTAGATATTTCAGAAAATGTATTACATAAGGCAAACAGCCCAAGTTGCACCCTATTTCATATTAATGTCCTGCAAAAGTCAGTCTCAAATCTTGATAATGCACAAATTAAGGGACTTGTGTAAAGTAAAATAAGGAGTCTCTGCTTTTAGCTTACTCTATGTTCAATAAATCATCAGCTCTCTTTTTTTTTTTAATGTGAATCTTTATATCCACTCTCCAGTCACAGGAAACTAAGATCCTATTGCCCCTATTCCTTCACAAATAACCACTAAATTTACATATTCTGTTTCCTACCTCTGCCTTGGCTGCCTATTATTATAAATTATTATTATTATTATTACTACTACTACTACTACTACAGGTTTTAGAAACTCAGTGACTCTGAGATAACTTCTGCCATTTTAGATTTGGTAAAAACTGGCTGCACATTCAGAATTTATTAGGCATTGATAGACAAACAGCTTAAAACACGTTAAAACTAGTCATGGGCAAAATACTTGACATGAAGTGGTAATCGTAGTTGCTGTAATTATGAGAAAAATAAAGTATTATATCAAGGAAGAAAATATCAGAGAAATGTGACACAGTAAGGACAGACATCCTAAGCTCAGTGGTGTGAATTCCTGGCAGCAGGACACCCTAGTCCTGGTGAATTTCTTTTTCCACCATGTTCTGACTGAAAGACTAATGAAATAAATGGGGGATCACTCCATTAGGGTTTGGATTAGACCATGGGGAAGAGAAAGATAGTGGAGGTAAGCCCACATGGTGTCTGCTGTAAACTCCCCATGTTCCCACCCAGCTGGGCACAAGGGAGCTCCAGAGCTGAGCCCCGTTAGCAGGGCACTGAGCCCGAGCTCCCAAAGCCTGTGGAAAGGCAGAGTGAATTATCTCGAAATCAAAACAACTCTGCTGCTGCCACAAGGCTCCTGGCCAGTTTGGCACTTCAACCAAACAAACATCATATCTGCCTGCTGAAGTGCTCCAACATCTGCCTGAAAAAAAATCCCAAGCAAATAAACCCATCCCTGTGCAGTTACAGCCATGGAGCATCTCTTACAATTCAAATGTGACTGCACTGAAAAAGCCCCTAAATATTTGTACAGAACTAGAGCTCAAGAAATAATTACTTGGCTAAATCTTGATAGTCTGGAGATGATGTCTCATTACTCTGCAAAGTCAATTGCTCAAGTACTACTAAAGACAACACTTGAGAAACATTAAGTGTCTTCTTGTAATCACGCTCCCAAGAGCTGCATTTGTCAGTGCTGTCCATAAGTGGTTCCAGGATAATTGTGCTAACCTAATAAAACCATATGTCAAATCCCACAGAACACTTGAAAATCAACTAGTGCTCTTAAAATGAAAAATTTGTGTTTTTAAAATTAAAACTTGTACTTCTTACCTTCTCAGACTCCCTTCCTTCCCCAAGAATGTGTATATTCAATATGATAGATGTTCATTCCATAGCATCAACAAAGGATCTGTAAAGGTTCTCATTATGAAGGTGCTGATTATACAGCCTGTGATCTCAGCATCCTCATCCTTTCACCTTCCTCTCACTGGAGATTTTTTCCTACAGATACCCACTGGTACCTGAAGGGATTCATCTTATGCTTTTGAACCCAACGACTGCCATAAATCTCCTGCAGTGCAATTTATTTTCTGGGAGGAAGACAACTGCATACTCCCTTTCTTAATTACATTTTTTTAATAGATTCTGAGAACATTTGGAATTCTTCCTTTGATTCTTTCAAAAGTCCTTACATTTTCCTTACCTTTGTTTCAGCAATAGCACTCAGTACACAGATCTCAGCAATACCTACATAGTAAAAATGTTCACCAAAATTACTATCCAGTTTTAATGCTATCAAGGACAATAAAGCAAAACTCTTCAGGGGTTAGTTTAGATACACCTCCATTGACTCATCAGGTTATCCATACTCCTGACAAACAGAACAAAGTGAAGATTCACCTAAATTCTCCAAAATCATTGCCAATCCTACCTAAAATATCATAATTCCCATCTTCAGCTTCAGGTTGACAATCCCAGACACAGAATTCTACCACAAGACACTAGGATCTGGTCTGCTTTTAGTTAATATAGTAACAACATTCATAAGGGTAGTAGTTTGCACCCACTATATGCAAGAGGGGTGGAAACAGTGTGGGATAAATGCTGGGTGAAGTGCTGGTATCTGTACCCATCCTGGCACACGTGCAGTCAGAGCCAGTGCCTGTGCATGGGATTTTTCCACATTTTGGTTCCAGCCTCTGCACACCCAGATCCACCCACCCTACACACCCATCACGTGCAAAAAAATCCCATTTTGCTCTTGACTTTTAGCCTCACATAGAAAAAAGAGATGCAGCAGGTTTCCTAGGAATCTAATTTTCTTGCCAGTTAAGTAGTAGATATTGGACTGTAACTGAGATAAATGCCAGGAAATTTTCACCAAAACTTTTCATAAGGTCTGTTCAGTTCTCTTTAAAATGTAGTTGGAAAAAAATCTTAAGGAGAGCTGCCTTGAGTCAGGGATGTGTATTTGGAGAACACTGAGGACTCGCATTTGGAGGACACCAAGGCTACCTTGCACTGCTATGATCCTACAGCACCTTGGGAAAATCAACTGCTCATCAAAGAGGAATTCCCATCTGCAGCCACAGCAAAACAGGAAAGTGTTACACTTCGATTTACCAGACATGTCCCACGCATATGAAGATCACAGATGGTAAAGTTTCAATCAAATATAGGTGTTCTGGGTATTTGCTGCTACAGAGTAAATAAAAATCATATTAAAGTAGACAAAAGAAGCTGACAAGGAAAGTATTAAACTTAAGCAAACCCAGCAATGATGATAGAAATGGATGTGGATTTTGAATTTCTGGATTAATTCAGTGGTTCCTATAACCTAGAGAAAAAAAGGCAATTCATGAATAGCTTCAAAAGACACCATTTCCATAAAGAAAACTCATGGATTTTTAACTGCAGCTCATAAAAACAAGGGACTATAGACATTCACTTATCTTTTGAAACTGCTGGTTAGAATGAGAGCAGGGTTGGATATGGCCAGAAGGGTCTAATTTAAATAATGTTTAAAAGAAATCAAGATTTATTTCCCATAAGTAGAAGAGATGCCTTTTCCTTGTGTTGCCTCTTATTCTAAATGCCAATTCAGTCAAGTTCATGAAAAACAGGCAGCTGAACCAGCAAACTTTTTCTTAGTTATGAGTACAAATTCAGTTGTTCACTGTCAGAAATTTAATTACAATTAGAGACACTGAACTTCAGTGGAACATAATTTCTCTTTGCCGTTCTAAACAGAAACAATAAATGAAGCAGAATCTTCATTTTTCAAATATGCCTGAAACTGTGCTTGTCCCTGATCAAAAAACAGAGAGACTCGATCCCCTCTCTCACCACCTCCCTCAAAAGGTTTAGAGCAAAAAAATGAAAATCAGATGGAATCACTACTCTGAGCCATGAGCCTCATTCTCATGTACTCTGCATAGGTGACACATGGCCCTTTTTAGGGTCTGACAAAACACAACAGCCTCTGTAGGAACTGATGTCCCCATGGATGGGCCTCTGAGAGGGAGAAGGGAATTTTCTTTTCTCCTGCCTTTAATTTTTCAGCTGAGAAGTGCAATGGGGACACAGCATCAGCATGAGCAAACTTCCAGTGTTTATGTAAATGAGAGTAACAGCTTATTGAACAGGCTGCAAGGAGTTTATAAGAGCACAATCAGAACAATTAAATGCCTGATGTGGCACGCAGGATGTGGGATCTGTGCACACTCATCAGCGCACGCCTGAGCAGCCACGCTCCCTCCTTGACAAATTACCCATCACCGAGCAGTGCCAGAGCTCAGCCCACTCGAGCTGATAATGGGGGCTGGCAAAATGTGCCCCAGGGAGTCACCTTCTGAGCAGCCTGGGAAAAATCTCGATAAAAGTTAAGGGAATGGGAGGGATCTCTGCACGAGTTTTGTTCCTTCAGCTTCTCCAAAGCAAATTAGAGCTCTTGCTCCCTGCCTTCAAGGCAGTTTTGCTCTTCTGTTTCAAAGTTCCTTTGAGTTAGTCTCAATAGTGGAGTTCTTTGAAGAAGGCTTTAAAACACTGCCCTTTATAACTGAAAATATAAAGTTGTATATTAAATTATTTTCAACAAAAAACTCAGCTTAGAATGTTTTTTTTTTCCTTCTTACCACAGTATTCTACTTCCTTGTCAATAGTATCTGGTTCTATTTCCTTTATTTTGCTCTAAACGATTTTATTTCTATGG